TATTTTAAAGTGCTACTGGTCCACTGTTCATTGTAATTGTTCATTGTTTTCCTGATACATTGAACCTGTACTGTTCTGTATATAGCGTAGGTTTTACAACCAGTGGAAGAGTGGCTCAACTGTTCATAGAAGTCATTGAGCTAAACGTGTGCGAGGTCACCTCCAGTTGTCTTTCCAAAGGCTTTCTAGTTCTGCTTGAGGCCTAAAGTTTGTCGCTGCTCCGACTACTGCTGCTGCCTCTCACCATGGGACAGTTCGCCGCCTCGTAACGACCCCAGCACTGGAGTCGAACCGGTCGGTAGGGGGTACACGGCAAGCTTACACTCACTTGCTGTTGTTGTTGTTTTGTAATGTTCGCTTTAATTTCGATTTTCTGTCACCTTTTAGGTTCTAATAGGTGACCTAGCCGTAGTCTTGCGCTGTTCTTGTTTTGTAATAGCACCTGTAACGTAAAACTCCAAATAGAACACGTTCCCTAGCAGCAGAGAACGATCAGAGCAAGTTCCCTAGCAACAGAGAACGATAAAAACGCGTTCCCTAGCACAAGGTTACACTCACACGCGTTTCTTGGAAACAGAGAACGATCAGAACAGTTTCCCTACTCAGTAGAGTTAAGACCATTTCACGACCCCCCAGCAATTTGGGCGTCGGCCGGCCTTAGCAACACATGGATACAACCTTTGACCCTGAAGTTTCCAGATTTCTCCTATTGTTTGATAATTGCCCTGACCCTGCCCAGTGTGAAAACATTGCAAGAGGGGTGCCGGTGGACCAGGTGAAGTGATACCTGGCCTCTGTGGAGTGTGAAATGTTTGGCTGTCTGGAAACAGTGCTGGATGTGTATTATAATTGACAAAGGATTCCATATGTCTAGTGTTTCTAATTTGTCTGATTCCCAGAGCTCAACATTACACACTGGTTGATTGTTCTGTCAAATGTGACATTTTCATTGTAAATAGCCTGACAAGGCATAAACCTATAGCACTCACAGACTTTAGTAAAGGAGAACCTGAGTATATTTATCATAAACACCAGAGGTACTGTTGATAATCAAAAGTCTGATAACCCT